CAAGGTAGCCCTTCTCTCCAGTGGTGGTTTTCCTCATGGTTTTAAATGAATAAAAAGCAATGGTCAGTGGAAAAAAAAACATGCTTAGACAAAGGCTCTGCCCACATCCCTGGGTTGCACCCAACAAAAATATCCCAATGTTTTCAGACCTGCTTGATAATTATGGTCCATCACTTTGTTTTGTTTTGGTCTTTGGATATAATTATTATGAACGGTGGCTAGGGGGGAGAGGTCATTTGATCCAAGGATTTGATCAAGGTATGCTTATAAAGGGAGATGGTTCCAGAAAAATTGCACAAAACCAGTCTTCCAGCAGCTGAACAAGATTCGTTTTACACAGATCTACCCCAGAGATGAAGCATGTTGTCATCTCCATGCTGGTTTTGGCTTGCGGTAAGCAATTCCTCTGACATTCTTTTGAGAGTGGAGTTGTATGTTCTTTTTAGAATGTCTCTTGTTAAAAAATTGAGTTCTGAGAGATGTGGAGAGATTTTCCCATGTTGTGTTTCATTTGGTGATTTCAACTGTATCCTAATATGACAGGAGGTACTGTTTGTTTCCCAAAAAGCTTCAAAGAATGGAAGGACAGTGACCCTCACTCTGAGTTGGCTCCATCATTAAGCCAGATTGGAGAGAGGGCATTGCTTCAAGCCATCATCTTGAAACATGCTGGGAAGGGAAAATGAATACACCTTAACTCTGAAGGCAGAGAAGAGACTATATGGCCTTCTGACTCCTTTCAAGCCCTTCGCACTTCCCTAAAATGAACAATTCCTTTTTCAGGATTGGCTCTTGTGACCAGCACAGCCACTCAGTTCAATGAGATGATCCAGCTCAGCACCGTCACCTACAACCTGGCTAACTTCACCAACTATGGGTGCCACTGTGGAGCAGGGACTCAAGGCTTTCCTGTAGATGCCATTGATAGGTGAGGGGTACCTGCATTTCTCATCTAAATGCGGAGTGTATCAACCTTTGCCTAAAATCCAGAGGGCATCAGGATTTCAGGCTGAGAAGGATATGTGCAAAAAGTGTGTGTTGGTCAAGGCCTGCGTATGGGACATGTGGAGCCTTCCAAGGACTGCCCTGGAGTGGGAGAAGCGGGAAAGTGGGTGTAATCAGAGCGGACTTGTCTAGAGCAACACCCCTATTTTTCTTGAACTCCATCTACTGTTTTTAGGAACTGCATTCATACACATTTAACTTGACTATTAATTAGCCCATTTTCTAGCTTTACACAAAGCACTGCGCCATCTGTGAAGGGAGCTGACACCAAGAAGAGCTGTTTTTCAGTGGAAGTTCCAGTGCTTTGTAATAGCTCCTGAGGGAGATCAAACCAGACCCCTCCCTGATGGCTTTCAGAAGGATGTTAAAAAACTTCGTTCTTTTGGGGAGTCATCCAGCTAAGTTCATGACTTGTACCATCTGTGATTCTTTTTACTCTTTTATTTTTTGCCTTCCTCTCTTTTCAGCTGTTGTTCATAGGGTTTGTTGGTTTATGACTTTATGACCTAGATATTTAATTTTTTTTATTAGATGCACTGTGGATGTTTCAATTAACATTTTCATATCATGTAGGCTGCTGAGACTCTTCAAATTGCAGCAGGATATAAATGTAATAAATGAACTAACAAAATAACTAACCGCGTTTGCACAACATGCAAACCCACCCAAAAATAAAGTTACCAAGATTAAAGCTAAACAAGCTTCATGTTTTTGTGCATGCATCTAATTTCTTTTCTTGATAGAATACATTATATTGTGCCAACAAAAGTGCCTCCACCCCATATTTATCCAGACTTAAAATTAGTGTGTTTATCATGCTTACCAAAAACTGTCAGCAGATAAAGAAGGAGCCTCTGGATGAATTACGTATCCAGGTCCAAAGTAGGAATGATCTACTGATTTCAGACATTTCCTTTCTGGTGTGGCATCTACACGAAACAGGCACAGTCTCACAAGCAGCTCACTTGCCAGAATGAGTTACCAGCCCTGCAAAAACAGCCAATCACTGGTTGGCAGATACAGGTAGGTCTGCATTCATCCCGCAGCAGCCCCCCTGCAAAGCAACGGAGAACTCTGCCAGCCACCTCCCTCACCTGTATGCCATACCTATTACCTTCAGCTGCATTGAGCTTTAGGACAAGTGCAAGTAGGTTAGTACATCTGCTGCTGATCCCCTTCAATCTCCTCATCTCAACTCTTAGAAATTCTTCTGTTGCAAGGCACTGTGGGCAAAAATGGTGGCCATGATTTGGGGGGGGGGGTGCAGCATGTTTTGTAGCCACTGCTATTTTTGTTTTTCTAGTTAACCTATAAAAACTTCCCTAAACCCTAACAGGACTAACAGAGCATCTCAATAAGTTTGTTCTGCAATGGGAGGAGGAAATGCAACTGAATGTGTGGGAGGGTGAATTGCACTCACTCTTACCTCACTTCATTTCAGTAGAATATTATGTTTATTCTAGCCTCACATTTTGGACAGGAGGGCCCTTGATCAAAATGGTTGTGGCCCTAGAGTATCAGAACTGCATCCTGCGAAAACAAAACTGGAGACCTTAAATAAGTGCTACTTGAAGGTGCTTGATGTTTTCATTTATCACTTCTGAAATGTTCGGGTAAGAATATACATGTGCATTTTCTTTCTCTACCCAAAGGTGTTGCCACAGCCATGACTGTTGCTACAACAAGGCAGAGATGTACGGCTGCAACCCCAAAGTCCACACCTACAGGTTCTACGCCCAGAGAGACAAAATCAAATGCGGTGAGTTAAGGAGAGGCTGAACCAGGGAACTGGATAGAAGTAGCGGCCCACATAAAGAATCATCTCACGGGATCAAAGTGGAGGGAGAAGGTCCAACCAAGCAAGCTGTTCCGTAGCTGAGCCACTTGATTGCTTGCATTTAGCTTTGCGCAATATGGGAACTCAGCCATTAATGTTCGTAAGCTATCGTTTATGGTGTAGCATGGCAACTATGGCCTCTATGACCCAGGCCATGATGGCTTGTTAAAACAAAACACAATTCAGTGCAGAAGCTGACACATTTGCAGCTACTCTTTTTACTTGGGTTAAACTTTGGAAGAGGGATGTGGCCTCTGTGGGCTGCAAGGGGAGATACACCCAAGATTTCATACGCCCCTTTCTCTGAGGCAAAAGAAAACAAAATCAGATAAGCCACGCCAGCAATTGTATTCGTCTGCCAAAACCAGGCTGAGCAACCTTTAGTTTACCATCATATGTGGACTTAGCCACGGTCTTCCCTCTCTGCAGTCAAATCAAGGGATCGTTGTGAGAAAATGGTGTGTGAGTGTGACCAGAAAGCTGCCAGTTGCTTCCAGAAACATCTTTTCACCTACAACCCTCAGTTCAAAAATCACCCAGTGGCCAACTGCAGGGCCCAACGACCATTTTGTTGAAGCATGCTTCTTTCAGGTGGTGGAACCAACTGCTGTCTCTGCCTCTATGGGAATTCTGTCTGCTTTTTCAGTCATTTGTCTGCAAAATGGAAACGCATGGGGAGACCAAAACTCTCTTTGTAAGAAATAAGAAAAGCCAACGATATATGTATTAAAGTAGGGCAAAATAAATATATCATCAGTCTTTCCTCTTGTTCTTCAGTGCACAATTTAGTTTGGCTTAAAAGCATCTGGTGCATTACGTTTGGATGGAAAATCACATACACACTAGAAAACATGCATCTGTTAGAACTGGGCATAAAATGGATGCGTACACATTTTCAGGCAGATTTTGTTGGCTTGGCGCTGGTGCCAAAACAGACTGAATCCGATGTGGGGTTGGGAAAATGAGAAACTGAGCCAAACCAAAACTGACAGTGTATAATTAGCCTGGTTGGCATTGAATGCCTGTTTTCTCATAAATAAAAGGATTCAAAAACCAAACTAACGGTCAAGGCTTGGGTCTGCCGAAAACCCATATTGTCACACGTGAAATAATGGAAACTACAGAATAGTAATATGATCTAATATAATAATACACACACATATACACAAATGAGTGCAACCCATATCACATCACATCTCTTTAGCTCATGGGTAGACCCCTACTTGCAAGTTTAGAAATGATGAAGAGACAAATGTAAGGGAAAAGGCTATGCGTACATCCGTTGCAGTGTGCGTTTCTATGTATGGACAATTTTAAAGCATCAAACAGCATTTGCTCTGAATCCTTAGAAGTCTGCAGTTAATCCGTCCCCAACATGTAATTTAATAGCATTACTAAGAAAGCAGAAGTACAAACATTTCAAAGGAAAACATTTTGGCTTCTTAACCTTAGGACACAAAGTACTTGTTCTAGCTTACAAAGCCAAAAAAAAAAAATTACCAGCTGGCTTCCAAGCCATAAACCTGTTCCCAGTAAATCTTATCCTATAAAATACAGCATGACATAATTTCTCACCAGCTTAAAAGAGGTCCAAACCAGAAAAAGTGACAAGGAAAGCATTATTGGTTTTACTGGAAGAAAAATCTCTTCCAAGTTTATTTATACTCTTGTAAATAAGGCATTGCTGTCCATCCCTCCCACTCTCCCATCACAAGATTTAAAAATACTTATATTTTGCTTGGAGATATATTACATTTTCAGCATATAAACAAGGACTTCTATACACACTCAAAAATTAAGCACGTTCAAGAGGAGGTCTGTACCCGTACAAACTCTTCCCTATAAATTTGTTTAAAAAACATACACGCAAAATAACAAAACCATAAAACAATATGAGTTTAAAAAAAAAAAAAAAGTTGCCATCAATTCTTGCTGTCTAAAAAAAGAGAGGGAGGAACAAGAGAACATCAGAAATATTATAAAATATATTAGCAAGCAACGG